GTCCGCCCGTACGTATTTCGTAGCGCACGCACACGTACCGTCGTCGTCGCGGCCGTGGTGGCCGTGCGCGCGTGCGAGCGCGCGCGCGAATGCGCACGCACGGCTCATCGCGCATCAGCGTTCCGCCAATCATGCACGGCGCGGGCCCGAGCCGCGCAAATGAGCCGCGTTTTTTGACCAGTCAAAATGTCACACGCGGCCGACGGTCGTATATCGCGATTTACGTGTTTGTTTCCCGTACGCTGATTCGTTTTACAGAGGGGCTTCGGATACGCGAATGCCCGGAACGTTGGTGTTTTCGAAAAGCAGTAATTATGACGTTGCTATTGAAAGTCATGCACCGCCATAAGCTTCATTCATGATTACTCGGATAATGTTACGATATTAACCTTTAGGTGGATAGGTGGGGTGAATCGCAGCACCTCAGGTGTGTAGTTTTCGCTGAAAATTATACAGGATTCTGAAAAAGTATTGCTCAGCCGTTCAGAAGTTCTTAACATTTATTATTTTTACATTTTCCTTTTTTTATGAGATTATGTAGATTTAACTATACATTAAAATGTATAGTAAAAGATATAACTATACGTGTATAATTTTTGGAGGGGGAAAGTACTGTGAAGCACTCGATCTGCCAACTTGCGTGTCTTTGAGGCCCGGTTTTGCACCAATGTTACTTTGACTTTAAATAAGGCTTAAAATTCTCTTTCTCTCTTTTTAAAGCCGAGAGTGGGAGAGAGTTTTAAACATCGCTTGAAGCCAAAGTAACGTTGGTGCGCCACAATCGCGGGCCTAAACTATTTATATTTACTTATCAAAAATTAAACAGACTATGTAGACAATATAACATTTGTATTGTATATCCTTTTCTCTGAGTGTAGAATTTCCATTGTGGATCGCAAAATAAGTATAATAAATTTTGTAAAAATTATCTCACTGATTTCGAGTCTAATGTCGGTCACTCTGCAATAAACGCAAGAGAGGAACGTGAAATTCTGGTCACGTCGAGAGCCAAGAGCGATAACCGTCGCGACGCAGGGCGGCGAGTCCAGTGCGTTCATTGCCGCACGTTATAAATGCTCGTGGCGCGGCTGTTAAGCGATACATGCCTACGGTATCGCGGGTGGCCCCCCGCCTTTCGCGCGACCATCCGCCGATCGTATATCGGTAAGTACAACTTCGTTCTCTCCCGCGTATGGAGATGTTATACCCCAGTGCGTATACGAGCTCTTCTTGCGCAAAAAGCGCACGCATACCGGCGCACGTGCCATTCCGCTCCCTCGGCTCGCGGTTCGGCGCGATCCTCTTTCGATGCGTGCAATCGCGCGGCATGGCGCGGCGCGAGTTGATGATGACGATATCTCTCGCCGAGCGCGAGAAGGGGGCGGGAATATAAATTTACGATTTACGCGGGACGCTCAATTTGAATTTGCATAAGTAGTAAATACGCCGGGATTGAGTTACGCAACGAGTAGCGGCGAGTGCTGTTTCGGCTGTGCAGCGAACGCCTGAAAATATTCACGCGGGAGGAAGAGACGAGGATATTACATTGTGCAAACGCGATGTACCCGGGATTAATAACCACGGCTGAGGATCGGCGGTTCTCTTTATGATAATCGCGAATGAAACCGATATAACTGGTAACTACGCGGTCGTAATAATGTAATCGTTTTACTGCTGGATCGTTTTTCGGAAAAATCATCGAAACCAACATCGACGGCGAGAGAAACCGCTTTTTGTCGCCGTGGAAAATATTCTCATGTCGTTACGTTATAATACCTAAATTTTCTTCTTATTTTAGTAATCCTACAATATCGTTATGGTATTTTGGAGACTTAATATGTCGGAAGACAAAAGATGTCAATAGAAAATTGACGATAATTTAATTGTTATATGTAACTGAAAATTCATTCTTTATAATTCAACACTTAAAAGTGAATCGTAAAAACTATCAAATAATTAATTTCCATAAGAAATGATCGATCGATTTGTTAAAAAAATTGCAAGTAAAAGAAATACAATAAACAATTCAACGTTCTACAATTGCATGAAAAGTCTGTTCTTTTCAGAGATTAACAGTGCAAGAAGTATGAACACGTTGAAAAGAACAGACCAGAAGAATCAGAAATTGCAAGCTGCGATACTTTTTCGGTCGCGACATACAAACCGGCGCGGTAAAAAAAACGGCGGATCATTCACAACGTACAAATTGCCAGCAGCGCGTAACGTCGCGAGGCCTAATCTCCACGATCAAATTTATCCGCAAGCTGGAAAAGCAACAGAGAGGGCAACGTGTGTGAGGGGGGGGGGGGGGG